AACAGCCGCTCTTTACGATGGGTTATATGCCATGGGCTTTGCGCCGTCTATCACTCATTCAAATTCTTGGTAACTAGGTGCAATATGCGCAGAATCCTGGAATGAACTGAAATTTTTATATATTTTTTCAATTAAAAAAATATTAGGTAGGTGCTGGGACTGTTGCCGCCAGTAGGACAAGAAGACAGGAACTCCCTTCTCTTCCCGTCTGTTTCGGAGATCTTGTGCTAAATTCCAGACCTAGTGGGGGATGGTTGGGCTATGACTCGAAGTCGGTGCCAGTCAGCAACTTAAGCCGGAACATGCGATTTAACTATTGACAACCATGAACACAAAGAGGGGGAACCTCTTTTTCTTCCCGTCTGTTCCGGAGATCTTGTGCTAAATTCCAGAGGGGGAATGCATTTTATGAGGTCAGCTCTCACGTTAAATGCGCACAGGCAGTGTAACAGAAAACTCGTAAGTGCGGAATGGATGAACCCTTTCCCACTACGCCCCCGACTTACAGTCGATTATTTCACGTTGATCACCTTCCTGTTTATGGGCATCAGGCTTAGACTCTGCTTCTTCTCCTCCTTTTCTGTCCTGTGGGGTGCTTAAGTGGGTCTGTTCTGCTATGATAGGCTCCTCGTCCACAGCTTCCGGTTTACAGAGAGCCGCTCCGCTAGCTGACGGCTTCAAACCCTTTTGGGGGTAGGTTGGGCCAGTACCATGGCAACTGATGACGCGCCGACCACCCTGGCAGTCAGGAAAGAAAAAAATGGTACGTTTCAACAGTAAGTCGAATGCCTCAAATGCGAAAACAACGCGCATAAGCGAAGGTCTAATGGTTAATAAGGAAAAAGTTCACAAACAAACTGGCGGGAGAGGGAGCTTTACTGGTGTGATGGAACACATACAGGCAGCTGAAAACAAGCTGCCACCTTATTTAAGAATCGTGACAGCACCGGCCCCCATGAAGCCGTAGTAAATGCAAATGTCTTTGCTACCTCAAGGGTGTTCCGTAGCGAACGCAAGTCAGTATCAGGAAAAGATAGGCGAACGCCTTTGAACTCCCTATTGGCAGCAAGATGATAGGAAATATATGGATACAAATACAATACATAATTCAACACAAATTCAACACCTAAATAAAAATATAAAAATTACGTCAATTACATGTTGCGGTTGAGGACACAGCAGTTGTTGGGTCGTCTAAATTGTAATAAAACATGGCTACTCGCTTAGAATGAGTAGTATAACCAACATAATTGGGCTGACGGTTGCTTCGTGTATGGTCATCATAACAACCCTAGCCAAAAGGAACACAATGACTGCTCGGTTGACGAGCAGCCCCATCATCGAGCATTCCGGGTAACGAGCGAGCTACTCGCAGAAATGGTGTTTCGCTTGACGGACTTCCGCTCAGTTAACGAGCTGCTTGTGCGTGTTTATGTGCCTGTGTCGGCTGTTGAATAGTGCTCCCAGGGCGTGGGGGGCCTCGGTAACCTGCAGCTAATCACTGAACTGATGCAGTTCAATTACCTGCGTTTCGCAAGGCAATCATTTCACATGACAAGCTCGGTGCTGGAACGAATCAAGCGTCTTAATTGAGGTTCCACTGCGTATGTGGATCATTAATGGTTACAGCTACAGTAGATTGCATATCTGATGCAAGGTTGGGGATAGGAGGATTTAAAGCCCATTTGAGGTTGTTTATTTAGTTCATTGGGTTCAATTGGGTCGCAAAATGTT